CTGACCCCTCTGGGGGTCCTGTCCTGTCTCGCTTCTCCACAGTCCTCCGCCTCGAGTTTCTACGCGTGCTTTGTCTCGCCGGGAGCCACTCTCTCCACAGGAGCTGCGCGAGTGGTTTGCCCGGCGCTGGAGCCGTGCTGCTGGTGCTGGAGGTTCGTCGGCTACTGAGGGTGCTGCTGTTGCGGGTCCCGGAGGTGCTCGTACTGGGAGTACTGGAGCTGCTGGGCCTGCGGGTTCGACTGGAGCTGGTGCTGCTGAGGGTGTTGGCGCTGAGACTACCGCTGGCGGTCCTGCTGGGGGTGCTCCTGGTGTTGCTCGAGGTTCTGGAGCTACTGGAGGTGCTGCTGGAGCGGGTGCTCCTGCTGGGGGTACTGGTGCTGTCCCTGCTGTTTCTGGCGTAGCTACGCGGCCTCGACCGTACTTCGTTCCACTCCTGCAGCAGGTTCTTGGTCTTCCGCCCTCTCCTGGTCCTCCTCCTCTCTTGGAGGGTCCACAACCTGTCCCGTCGCGGTCACTGCTACAGCCTACCTCCCCTTTGCCTGCTCCTTCTCCCTACACTGGTCCTACTGGAGGTCTTACTGAGCGTCGTGAGCCTGCGTCTCGCCCTGCGTCGCCTGTCCGTGCTGCTCGCGCTAGTGGTCGTGGTTCGCGTCAGCGTCCTCCTCCTGTCCCTGGCACGCACAGGATGTCTCTGCGTCCGTCTACTGCTCCTCTGCGTGCCCCTTTGCCTTCTCCTCCTGAGTCCTCTCTTCCTGCTCTTCCCGACCCTGCGTCGGACTCTCTTCGTGCTGCCAGTCCTACTGTCACGCGTCTCCTTGCTACTGTCGTCACTGACCCTTCCTTCGAGTCTACTGCTGCGTCTGCCCTAGTTACTGAGCTCGTCGACTTTGCTGCTCGCTGTCGCCTAGACTACGCTGCTAGTCTTGTCGCTGAGTCTGGGTCTGCCTGTCCTCCGTCAGTCGGGGGTGAGTGTGCCCTTGGCACGGACGTCCTTGAGGACAGGCAGGAGGAGTTCCAGTGTCTGGCAGCTGCTTCACCTCATCTCGTGTCCGTACTGCTTACCCCTGAGGGAGACCCGGATGCACTTGACATCCCGACTCCGCGCTCTTACGCGGAGGCGATAGAGGGTCCCTACTCCTCTCAGTGGCAGGCAGCTATGGATGCAGAGATGGCTTCCTGGAAGTCCACAGGCACCTACGTTGACGCTGTCCCCCCTCTTGGGGCGAACATCGTCAGTGGCATGTGGATCTTCAGGGTGAAGCGGCCGCCGGGTTCTCCGCCTGTCTTCAAGGCACGTTACGTGGCTCGTGGCTTCAGTCAGCGACAGGGAGTTGACTACTTTCAGACCTTCTCCCCCACCCCGAAGATGACCACTCTTCGGGTGCTGCTACACGTTGCTGCTCACCGTGACTACGAGCTGCACTCTCTCGACTTCAGCACTGCTTTCTTGCAGGGCAGCCTGCACGAGGAGATCTGGCTGCGCCGCCCACTTGGCTTCACTGGGTCTTTCCCTCCTGGTACCCAGTGGAGTCTCCGGCGTACAGTCTACGGTCTCCGCCAGGCGCCACGTGAGTGGCACGACACACTGAGGACTACGCTTGCGGCTCTTGGGTTTGCTCCTTCTACTGCCGACCCGTCGCTGTTTCTACGCACCGACACCTCTCTGCCGCCGTTCTACATCCTCGTGTACGTCGACGACTTGGTCTTTGCCACAGCTGACACTGCTGGACTCGCCCACGTGAAGTCCGAGCTGCAGAAGAGACACACGTGCACAGACCTGGGTGAACTGCGCAGCTACCTTGGCTTGCAGATCACCCGGGACAGAGCACGCCGCACCATTACCCTGACTCAGTCACACATGGTGCAGCAGGTCCTTCAGCGCTTCGGCTTCACGTACTCCTCGCCTCAGGCCACTCCTCTGCCTACTCGCCACTCACTCTCAGCTCTGCCTTCGGATGAGTCCGTAGAGTCGAGTGGCCCGTATCCAGAGCTTGTTGGCTGCCTCATGTACCTGATGACCTGCACACGACCTGACCTTGCATACCCTCTTAGCATTCTTGCACGCTATGTTGCTCCTGGGAGACACCGATCAGAGCACATGGCTGCAGCGAAGAGGGTGTTGCGATACTTGTGCAGTACGTCGGGCATGGGACTAGTGCTTGGAGGGCGGAGTCCAGTGGTCCTCACTGGGCACGCGGACGCTTCTTGGGCTGACGACCAGGCTACGCAGCGGTCGTCGCAGGGTTACACCTTCAGTCTTGGTTCCGGCTCTGTCTCGTGGCGAGCTACCCGCTCGTCCTCTGTTCTCGGCTCCAGTTGTGAGGCTGAGATCTACGCCGGGGCCATGGCTGCACAGGAGCTTCGCTGGCTCACCTACCTGCTGACTGACCTTGGAGAGCCGCCTCGTTCTCCTCCAGTGCTGTACGTAGACAACAAGGCCATGCTGGCCTTGTGTCGAGAGCAGCGCTTGGAGCACAGAACGAAGCACATTGCTCTCCGTTACTTTCTTGCTCGTGAGCTGCAGCAGCGTGGTCAGTTGCGACTTGCGTACGTGGCCTCTCAGGCCAACACTGCTGATGTGTTCACCAAGGCACTTGCGCCTTGTGACCATCAGCGCTTCTGCACTCAGCTGGGTCTTGTACCTGTCTTGCCTCACTTGCTCTCCTCTTGACCTTACTTGTACTGTCACATATATATACCTGCTCTTGCTTGTCTAGCTCTATATATATATGTGTACTCCTGCATGTGAACTGGCCTTGTGGCCTTGTCGTTGTGCTCGGACTGTGTGGTGACGTTGTGATCCACCCTGAGCTTGCTCTGCTTTGCTTGACTGGTCTTGTGACCCCTTGTTCTCCCCCACTTTGCCTATGGGGGTGTGTCAGAACATTATATAGCTTATGCTGTTGTGTAGGCTATAGTGGGGTATCCCATAGGGGGTACAACCCAATTAGGGTTTTCTATATGTACTCACCTCATTCATAGTTCATCCATCCTCGTTCTTCATTCTTCTCAAAATTCTCCAACAAACGGAAACGCGCCACTCTCAACCGATCCCAAGCCGCCACCAAGCACAAATTTCTCCACTTCCTCCTCGCCGGGTCACCCCAGCTGCACCAGGACCTTCGATCCTCCTGGCTGCTCAACAGTGCTTTCCAACCACCATAAAGCTACTGTACACTTTCGTTGTTTATCACAACATGGAGCGGGCAGTGCTCTTGCTCTGCTTGTGAACTTAGTTCAGCTCAGGAACGCTGTTCTTAGCGTAGGCCACTTGGCTTGGGTTACACCTTCTTTGCCTCTGTGTTGTCTGGGTCACGACCTTCATAAAAACTTAAAAAAAAACTTAAAAAAAACTCCTGTAAGTTTCCCAACTCCGAGGGGTGATCGGCACGCCCTCGAAACTCCGCTTAGGGAAGTTGCGAGGGTCGTGAGCGCGATTTCCCTCAACGCACTGTTGCGGTCGGCCCAGACTGCCCCACTCGTGACCAAGAAAACGAATTACCACAAAGGGGTAACTTAGCCAGAAAATGACAACATCAAGAACCACTGGGAGTTGGGGGAAAAAAAAAAATGGATATTTGAAGGCTTCCCTGAAAACAAAAAAGTAAATTTTGCGGTTCTGTTGGGTTCACCCTTCGCGCGCTTAATCCGAGTAAGCGAGGCTTACTCTCCCAAAAAGCCAGGGTTAGTGGAGTTCCGCCGCGGAGCTAAGTTTGCCAGTGAAGGAACCTTCCTGAATGGCAACTTCGAGTCGTACTCCGAGTAGGGTGTTCGGGCGATCGTTTGCCCATTCTGACTTACACGGAGTAAGCCACGTCGGACTGAGTAAACTTCCGTCACACGTGCAAAGCGGGACTTAGGGAACTGCCTAGAAGCTCACTAACCCCGCTTAAGGGTGCTACCGGTGGGGATGAAAGCGAAGGCATCCACGGGTTTCCGCTTGCCTTGTGCTGCACTGCACCCAAAAGAACCCGCTCCAGCGGCCTTGGCGAGCTTGACGAAACGTAACAGCATGTAACGAAGCTGTAACTTTGCCTCCGGTTACCTTTCGCAAGCAACCAAATCTTAAATTGATTGGAGGGCGGAAAGTGGCTTGGTCGGAACTTGGGGGCGAATCGAGGTTGCTTTGCGGCTGCCAAACCGAACTGCTGGGCAGGGAGTACTAGTCGTTGACGTGTGGGCATTCGTGTTTCAGCCATGACAACATCGAAGCTGGTCATACGACAACAATCTAGGTCGTCTCGAGACGACAGCTTACGGACACATCATCGAGTAATGTTCTACACGTTAGACTTGTGTGGTTGTTGTCAGGATGGGATGGGCCATGTCCAATCAGAAATGTGATTGGAAAAGCGCGATCAACCGTTTTCAGACGGCGTATCGACGGTCTGGGATGGCAGCAATCGTCGAGCACTTCTCCATCCCATACGACTGAACATGATTGGATGTTCAGAACCATGGTCACAATGACAGAAGCCTCGCATGGCTCGGGGAAAGGATGCGTCGTATAGCGTCGTATGAATTGAAAAGCGTCGCATGGTTGGGAAAGCTTTTCGTGATGATAATATCCCATTGGCCTCGCGATCGCATCTTACTCGGCGTCACTGAGTCCGTTGAGTGATCGATCGAGAGAGTACTTCTACCGGCCTTCCGCCTCGAGTGAATGCGACGGATCTGAATTCGAGTGAATGCAGTGCTGGCTTCAACCCGATTATAAGCAGATTCGATAAAATCTTGCCGCATCCGGCATGGCTTTCGAGATAATTTCAGAATCCCAGCTGGTCTGACGAGCTGTGGATGCTATTATAGCCGTACGAGTGGAAGTGGCGAGACCGTCGGATGCGTCACGGATCAAGAAGATCGCTTGAATAACAAAAGAATTGAGCTGATTGCATCACACGTGGACGTCTTTCTTGCAGTTGCTCCCGTCGAGCTTCCGTTATCGGCTTCCTACTGAATCTGCCGCTGCGACTGCTGCTCTTACGACGGAATTGGACCCCATGGAGCCCAGCTGCATGCAAGGCGACGCACACAAGCCCAACAGACGAGCTTCACCAGGGGTGGGCGGAACAGGGTTGAAGTGCCTTGACTCTGATGCTGGCAGCAGCAAGGAACAGGAAGATGAAGAAGAGGGAATCGTGGTGAGTGTGAAACACTTGGTGCAGTCCGTTGGGGAGTTGGAAGAGCAGTTACAGGGGGTGGGTGCGATGCACCGGGCACTTGAGAAGGATTTGAGTGGACTGAGACAGTTGGATGGGGCGAACGCAGGGGCAGCAGAGCGAGCGGGAGACGCTGTGCGAGCGACACGCTTGCCACAGTCCTTTCAGGAGGTGGACGAGCGGATGGAGAATATTGAGATGCTGCAGAGGGATCCCCGTCCTGCAGTCCAGATTGGCCCGAGTGAAGCAGATCAACTCGATAAGGAAATCGGAGGAGGCGCAGAGAAAGCAAGAGCGGAGGAAAGTCCAGAAGTGCTACAGCTGCTATCGCATGCGGACATGGTTCACTACTTGGACGTGACGAGTGGGTGGGATGAGGATCTGTGCGCGTGCTGCTTTGAGCGTGCTGTGAGCCAGCGAGCACGGCGAGCACTTGGCATGAAGAACCTGGAGGACTTGCGTCGCCACCTGCGCAAGCAGCAGCCTCGTTCCATCCCCGCAGCTACCCCGGAGCAGCAGCAGCACAACCAGGCCGCTTTTGAGTCCTCCGAAGGGACGTCGGTGCAGGAGCTACGGCGGGAGGGACACAGAATATACCCTCAGGCGCAGTGTGTGTCACAGCCAGGGAGGGCGCCTCGCCTCTGTGCGGAAGCCATGCTGCTCGAGTGGATGGCTGAGCCGCGTGTGGGCGTGCTCATGGACCTGGGGAGGGTCAGATCCCGCCTGCCTGATATTTTGTGGCCGAATGCTCCTGCTCCTGCTGCTGCTTCCTCTTCTCCTGCTCCTGCTGCTGCTTCCTCCTCTCCTGCTCCTGCTGCTCCTGCTGCTCTTCCTGCCCCCGCTGCTGCTCCAGCGTGGTCCTGCTGCTGGCGCTGCAGCTGCTGGGCTGCCTACCGCCGTGCTGTGAGCTTCTCGACGTTCCTTGTGCTTGTGGCGAGATCGCCCCGCCTTGTAACTCTCTGGAAGGCTCACTTGGTCTCGTATTCGTCTGCCTGGCCAGAAATTGTGGCTCAGCTGGGGGCGCGCAGGCAGAGGGAGGGGGACAATTTCGCGTCTATGCTGGTGCAGGTGCTGGGGGTGAAGGAGCGCGCTGAGTTGAAGGAAGGGTTTGGGTTATTTGTGCAGCATGTGCTGTCAGGCGGGCTGGAGAAGGCGCATGCTGAGGGGAGGGGGGGAGCCGGGAGGGAGACTGCTGAGGAGGTGTATGAGGAGGGGAGACAAGGAGAGAAAGTAGCAGGGAGCGAGATAGAGATTGATAGTGTTGATAGCAAGTGCGGGAGGGATAGGAAGGACTTGAAGTGGAGGGAGCATATGAAGGGGCGTGTGTGGGAGAGGTATGTGTATGGCATGGCTTCGATTCTGGAGCATGGAGGGGAGGAAGGGAAGGCAGCCACTGCAGTGAGGGGGGCGGCAGCAGCAGCAGCAATAGCAGCGGCACATGTAGCGGAAAAAAGGGCAAGGGCATTCCCAAGGGCATGTATGTGAGTGGCGTGGGTGGCAGTGACTTCGCACTGGCAGTGGCTTCAGTGCTGTCCACGCCGCAGCACCGCACCGTCGCAGCGAGGTTCTTCGCCGGGTGCAGTGGCAGTAGCAGCATGGTGGAAGATGCCGCCATCCATCAGGCTAGGGCTGGCAACAGAGATGAAAGGGGGGAGCGGCAACAGGTGGGGGACTCGGAACAGCAGTAGCAGCGGCACCAACAAGAGGGCGCCCAGCTTCCAAAGCAGCTGCTGCCTCAGCCCGAGCCAAACCTACCCTCAGCAGCAGCACCAGCAGCGGTTCTACCGGCAGCATTTTCCTCGTGCCTGTCAACACAGACCCTGTTCTTTGGGTTCTCACATATCGGGTTGCCTGCATCTTGCAGTGGCTTCGGCTCTACGGCTCAGATTTCATCTCCGCCAGGAGCTGCTTCAAGGACAGCCCGCAGGGCAAGGTCCTGCCCATGCGCCACCCGCTTCGGGATCTTCCGAGCCTGCTGGTCAGGTTCGGCGCTGTTCCCGAGCCTTTGGATGGAAGCAGCCACCTTCCGGAGTGGGAGGAGTGGCCCGGGGGAGACGAAGCTGCTGTGAAGTTTCCTGACAACTCAAGTGGCAGATGTTTTGGGCTGGGCACGGCGGAGGGCAGGCGGTGTCGCAGGAGCAGAGGGCACGCCGCAGCAGGAGCAGGCCCCAGCAAGGGTGTGTCGCTGGGGGTGGAAGCGCGTCCGATGGTGCGGTGCAGGGGGGACGTGGAGGGCATAGTGGACTTCGCCGCTGTGCTCTTCGTGCCACCCGCATGCGCTCACTGCTGTCGCTGCATCACCATCTACACCTCGCACGTGCCCGTCATTGCGTTCATCGCCACCTACGCATACCGCCCCGCTGCCGCCCTGGTGCACCGCTTCGCCTCTGTCTTCCCGCCGCACATGCGCGAGTACCGCAACATTTTTGATGGCCTGCGGCTGCGTGCTCCGTATGGCAGCGTGCGTGCGCTGCAGCAAGCGGTAGAGCAGGTGCCCATCCTCTTCCTGCTCACCCTCGCCCTTCACCACTCCAAGGATCTCCTGCCGCAATGTGCGGCTGATGGGGAGCAGAGTTCAGAGGCTGGTGGGGGCAGCAATGGGGCGAAAGACAAGGCGGGCAGGAGGAGGGCGGGGAAACGCAATAGTGGAGAAGGAGGAGAGGGCGGAGAGAGTGGGAGGGGCGAAGGTGATTGCGGGGATGTGTGGGAGGAGGTGCAGTCGTGGTTCGAGGTGGCAATGCTGCCGGCTGCTGGTCCGGAGGCTGGCAGGTCTGCGTGCAGGGGCAGCGAGGCAAGGGAGTATGGTACGCCCGCGCACGCAGAGAGGGTGATGCAGGCGTCCGAGTGGTCTGCCGTGCCGCGGTTCTGTGAGGACATGACGCACGTGGCCGGGCCTGTCCTTGCCCGTGCTAGTATGTGCAGCAAGCGCAAGGGCAAGAAGGGGGAGGAGGCGGCCTACCTGAAGCCGTGGCCCGGGGGAGTGAATCTGGTGGCATGTCTGCGAGAGATGCTGCTGGGGGAGCCCTGCTACCGCCCTGCCTCCCCTGCTGCTACTATGGCTTCTCATCCTGCTGCCTCTCCCACCCCTGCTGCCCGTCCCACCCATCCTGCTGCTGTAAAGACCACTAATGCAGTGCCAAGCACAGCTTCTGCTGCCACTGCTGCTGCTGCCACTGCAGCTGCTGGCTCTGCAGGTGCTGTGAGAAGCCGTGCTGCAGCGTCCACTGCTGCTTCAAGGAACTGTGCCACTGCACCACCCTCTTCCACTGCTGCTACTGCTGCTGCATCCACTCTCGCTGCACCAAGCGTTGCTGCAGCAGCCGTTTCAAACACAAAGCCCACTTCAAACGCACAAGGCTCTGGTCCTCTGTCTACAGAGGGGCGTGTGTGCGGTGCTGCGGGGTGTGGAAAGGCGGAGGGTGGTGGTGTGAAGCTGAGGAGGTGCAGTGGGTGTGGCAAGGTGGCGTATTGCAGCAGAGAGTGCCAAAAGGCGCACTGGCCCTCCCACAAGCTCACATGCCCTGGCAGGGCCAGCGGCAAGAAGGGTGGGAAGGTGAGTGGAAGGGTGAGTGGCAAGGCGAGTGGCTGGAGGGAGATACTGGATGCAGCAGAGAGGTTTGCATTCTTCTCTTGAAGCTGTCATGTGCCTTTCCGCTGTCTCAGTCAGAATTCGCAGTCGCAGTGGCAAGTCGGGTGATGCCATTTGATTCCCAAGGGTAGGGTGTGTGTTTCACATGTTTGCCGACTTTTCATTACTCAGGGGTAGGGTGGGCGGTTTGACTGGGGAGGTGGGAGGGGGAAATTGCACTTGATGGAGAGGTTGACGCAACTAGTCTTGAGCGTTTCGAGCATGGGACCCAAATCTCCTCCTGGAACTCGCATGGTGATCATGGTCCAATGTGAACACACACTTGGGCACCAAAGCCAAGAATCACATCGCGTTGTGAGTGGGGAACTCCTACTACTACCGTATAAGTTTTATTCAGTGCAATTGCTGTGGTACGGGCTCTGTGGTGGAAGTTCTGGCTCCTGTCCTGTTGTTAACTGCATGGAATCGGCTGGTGTGTCTGTGTCTTAACAGTGACTTGCGTGGCAGCTAATAGAATCGGTCCATAGCGCTTTCCCGTCTCCTCACCCCCTTTCCCCACCGCCCCTGCACTGCCTTCTGTCTCCTGCTTCCCTGCCTTTTTCACCAGTCACCTTTTTTGCACACACGTGCTTACCCCCTGCCTCACCCATTCTTGCTCTACACAGGCCTGAAGCACAAGCGTGCGATTACCGTATGTGCTCATGTCAGGGATTCTTGCTCTAGACAGTTCGTTGCATCGTGCTTAGAGGGAAGACTAATCATTAGTACCCGTGGGCCATGACCATCAATGTCCACTGCCCTCTGCTGGTGAAGCTGTCTTTTGATTGGACAGCAACGCAACACTTGTATTGCCACCAATGTAGTCTTTTCATGAGCCATTGAAGTACCATTGTTATTGTTAGCCCTCAATCTTGTTGGGCTGAGATGAGAAATGGCCATTAGGATCGTTGCAAGGCTAAGACCCTGAGTAGAGATGATGTAATTGCGGAAGCGTTCTTAGTGAACTGTTGAACCACCTTGCACCAGTGTGTGAGAGCAAGAGATTGATTATAGGGTTTTATATGATTACAGAGAATACGAAGAGATGCATTTTAACTGTTTTGTTGCTATTGCGGTTCGATACAGCGACGACTCCGGCAACTGCTCAATACCCAGTCAGTTGTGTGTCCTTGCTGTCGTGCTGCCTTTCGACGAGTCAAAGGTCGCCGACCTTTGACCATCGCGTAACCTCCAGCTGTTACATTTTGTCAACCTCCTTGGTTGACTCGCCGTTGCTTCGCTGTGATTTGCCTCGTTTGCAGTTCGATGTTCCGACACATCAGAAGCGTTACATTACTTGTTTCCAACACTCCCCTTCGCTTATGGAGTGTCGTTGTTGGTGACGTGGCCTTGTCCAGTCAGCAACATGCAGTACTCGAACTTCTGCTTTCCGAGTTTCTTGGTCAAATAATCAGCTTCCATCTCGGATGTGGGGTAGTAGGATAGTTCGAGTCTCCCCTTCTCGATCTCGTCCTTCACGAAGAAATATCGCAGGGCGATGTGCTTCGTTGGATTCGCGAACCCGTTCTTGTTCGCTATGCGGATTGCTGATTGGCTATCGCAGAACATGGAGAAGCTGGGTAACTGAGCCAGCTTCGCTTCTTCCAGTAGTTCGCGAAGATACAGTCCTTCCTTGGTGGCTGAGCAAAGTGCGATATATTCTGCTTCAGCTGAGGAGAGAGCAATCAGCTCTTGCTTGCTCGAATGCCACGATATGGGGCCGATAGGCTCGAGTCGGTAGATGTAGCCAGTGCGCGATTGCCTGTTGTCGGAGTCGCCGGCGTGGTCAGCATCCACATAGCCGATTAGCTTGGGTGTCGTAGTTCCAGTTTTGTGGTAGGTTAGGCCGATTGTCGGAGTGCTGACGAGATAGTGAGTTCCGCCATATGATCCGCTTCAGGTTTCTTGAGGTAGGTGGCGAGTTGGCTTGCTGAGTATGATAGATCCGATCGGTAGGTAACGGATGCGAAGAGTAGAGATCCCAGCTTTCACTGGTAGTCACGAATGCTGGCGGATTTGAGCAGAGCGGAGGTTTCCTTGCGATTTCCGTCAGTGTAGCGGTACGGTGTGGCGATGGCGGCTGGGTTTAGTCCGAAGCGCTTGGCAATGGTGTCGGCGTATTTCGCGGCGCTGAGGTAGATCACGTTCTTTCCGTCTTGTATGTTGAGTCATAGGTACTGCGTGACTGTTGAGGAGACGGTGAGTGTGACGTCTCGCTACAGCTCCCCTTCAAACCAAGTCGTGATGTCGTCGGTTGAGCCGATGTAGAGCAAATCGTCCACGTAGACGATGAGTAGGATGTAGTCGGCGCCTTTCGTGAGTCGGTACATCCCTTGGTCATGTGGCAGTTGGCGGAATCCGATGCGGATTAGTCGGGTATGTAGATATTGCTGCCATAGCCTCGGGGCTTGCTTGATGCCGTACAAGGATTTCAGTAGTTGACAGACTTGGTTGGGGTCTGTGTTAGACCCGTGCGGTTGCTCGACGAAGATCTCGGCATCGACAGGAGCGTAGAGAAAGGTGTTGGCGACGTCGATTTGGCAGAGCTTCTTCCGCTTCATGGCGGCTATCGCGAGGAGAATTCGAAGAGAGGTATGTCAGCTAACCAGTGCGAAAGTTTCGGTGAATTCTCGTCCATGCTCTTGGTCGAAGCCGCGTACAACCCAGCAAGCCTTAAACTTATCAATCGTTCCGTCAGCTTTCGTCTTCACGTGGAAGACCCATGTTCCCATGAGAACGGTTTTGTTGCGTGCCACTCCGATAGGCACTATCTTCCAGGTGTTTCTGTCTTCTAGCGCCTTCAATTCCCTGTCCATGGCTTCGCGCCATTTTTCCCTGTGCCCCCCCCAGAGCCTGCTGAACCGTGGCAGGCTCCTTCGGTGGCGCTGCTCCGTGGACGGCGGTGACGAGTCCCAGTATCTGCAGCCCACTCTGTGTGTAGCGAGGGAGATTTGAGTCCTCGGAATATGCTGCTTCATCTCCCGCTTCTGGATCACGTAAGAAATTGGACCCTATGCGTTCGGAAATGTTGGTGTCGACCAGTTGGGGTGTAACGTAACCGTTGTCGGCGAAGTCGTAGTAGACTTCGGCGTTGACGCTTTCGCGAGGGTTGGCGTCGTCCATTGGGATGTCCACCGAACAGTAGGGAAGAGGTCCGGCTTCCTCCAAAGCCGGATTAACGCTGTCTGTTGTTTGATACAGGTTCTTCAGGTGGTTGTACGCGAGCTCGGATGTTTGGGTCGAAGCCGGTTGTTTGGTTTGCAGGAGTTTCAGTAGACTCAGCAGCTGGTCTTGCCGTGCCTCCCTCTGTCTGTAGGCCAGAGGCTGGAGGTGGAGTAGGAGTAGTGCCGGGAGATCCGTTAGAGGAGCTTCTCTCTTTTTGTGTTGCCATGCCTTCTGTTGTTGTAGGAGTTTGAACGTAGTTGGATCTTGCCTTGTTGGCTCTGATACCATGTTGGGCTGAGAAATGGCCCTTAGGATCGTTGCAAGGCTAAGACTCTGAGTAGAGATGATGTAATTGCGGAATCGTTCTTAGTGAACTGTTGAACCACCTTGCACTAGTGTGTTAGAGCAAGAGATTGATTGTAGTAAAATAATACAGAGGTTTTATATGATTACAGTAAATACGAAGAGATGCATCTTAGGGCGTGTTACATTTTTGGCCTTTCGTCGTCCGGCCCATGGATTGTCCGAACATTTTGCTGGTAACTGCTTTCGTTTGATTTCGCATGGCATCTCGCATACCAGCATGCGACGTCGCATGCGTCTGTACCGAAGATGGAACCTTTTCAGTGTTCCTCGCATAGACGTTGGTCCGGATGCTGACAGTCCGTCAGGTGGACAGAGAAAACGGACCGCGTGTTGATTGGCGGGCGAAATCCTAAAACGAAAAATGAATCCGCCAATCAGCTGTCTAGCCGCTCAAAACCAATCACGCGACACATTGATCACCGAGGCGCATTTCAATGGACATTCCAGTGCCTCAACTGAGGCCACTACAATGACCGATTCAAGAAGAACAAAATCCAGCGTGGCACAATCTCGGCCAAGAACTTTCTCCAAGATCCACGGGACATTGAGCACTTGCTTGGCGCAATTCTGTCGAAGCATCATTTGAGAGAGACATCGCCGAGGCGCATTTCAAACAACAATCGAACTCCTACAATGTGAACCCACTACAAAAAAGACATCGATCCGGACGACATCATCATAGACAAAGATGAATTTCTCTAGCGTTGGTGAAAACTCCCAGCCTTCTCTTCACAACCAGACTTCTCCGACTGACAATCCTGCACCTGATGCTGGCGCCAACCTCCCAGAAACTCAAGAGTCCCAGCATGCTCAAGATGCGCCCGCGGTTCCACCTCTAGCAGGTGCCACGGCCCAGAACCCTATCAACCTCACCGACCCTACTTGGTGGGGTAATAACATCCGCTCTCCTAGTGACGCCTATGATGACTCAGAGGACTACGTAATCGGTGAAGAAGTGGCGGTCGGTCCTCCGCCTCTCGGACAGGAAGAAGAACTCCACGGAGGCGAGGACACACGCACTACCAACGCTCCAGCTAGCACCTCTCGCCGCTCTGATGGCAGAACCATCATCCGCTAGTCCCCGGAAGAGGAGTGGGATCTTCTGCAGGCCTTCTACGATAATCAGGAGGAGATCGAGAGGAGGACCGGGCAGCAGGGCAGGAGCTGGTATACCTTCCTGCAGGACAAGCTCAAGCGACGTCACCCCGCATGGCGTCACGACTACGCCGCCATCAAAGCTAAGCTCCACCGCCTGAAGGACACGTGGAGGCGTTGGAAGGATCGCGGATTCAATCGGTCTGGCGGCGGTCGTCCCCGTGATCTGCCGGCGTGGTATGACATGGCTGACGAGATTTGGGCTGACCGCCCAGCGGCTGTCCCCCCGTCCTTGTCGGCACTGGTCTCCCTATGCCTTGTGCTGATGCTCAGACGCAGCCTACCGCTGGCGCCGCTCCACCTGCAGCGCATCGTCCCTT